TTTGTGTGTGTGTGTGGGGGGGGGGGGGGAGCTATTAAAACACTTTTGTGTGAAGCACAATCTTAGGAGGATCCCCAGAGGGCTTGCAGACAGTCAGTAGGATCAAATCAGATGAGTCTCTAGACATTGTTATTTGTCAGATTACATCACACTAAATTCAAGAAATGTAGATGACCTGATCATTAAAATATTGCCCCAGCTTCCCTCACATCCACTACAAATGCTTCTGCATGTGCCACTTTTTCAGATTTGGTTGTTACCTGTTAAAGAGTTCTTGGTGCTCAGCCTCTTTTCTGCTACAATGATAATAATAGTTTTCTCTCCAGGAGTTCTGAGAATTTTTATGGCCCAGGAAGAGAGAAAAACAAACATACAAGCAAGGATCTGGGGTGCAGAGCAGAGGATTAGGAGAGTGAGCAAAATAACCGATTTGTGAATAAGAGCCACTCATATGCAAGAAGACCAAAGTTGTTAATGATTTTTTTTTTTACTGCTGACTTCTAAGGGCTTCACCACAACAGATCAGCAGCCCCAGGAAAGCCAGGGAGAGCAGAGGGTCTGAAGTGAACTTGTTACCCGGTGTCCCTTCTGGGCAAATAAGTCCCCCAGTAAGTGAATTCTCCAGATAGCTGAAGGCTATCCTGTAACTGGTAAAGCTTTTCTTTTACTATGTTTGTGAATTGTCTATCAAATGATTTTCCTGTCATCTTCAACAGAAATGACACACACACACACACACACACACACACCACATACTTAAGAAAGTAAACTTTCAATATGATCATAGTAAGATTCTGCAGATAAGAAAACCAGGAACCATCAAGACCGGGGATGCATTGCCAAACACAGTTGGTTGCAGCTCTTAGCTACGAGGGGCACAGAGAAGAATTTTGAGCTTCCATTTACCTGCCTTGGAGTTGTTCTTTTTCTGATTCCCTCCTTGTTGGGCTGACAAAGCCACACACTTAAACTCATGCTTTTAACTTCAGGAAAATTCTTCCCTCCCCCTCTTTCCCTTTTTAAAATAAAATGTGAACAAACTTGTGTGTTTTGTTCTCTTTGCAGCAAACTAGAAATAAGTTGAACAGAAGGAAAAACGGAACAATTGCTAGAGAAGCTGTGACGTTTCTTGTACAAAGGTGACAAAAGAAATGAGAATTGACAACTATTAAAAGTTTTGGTTTTTGTTTTTGCTTATTTCTCATTTCTTGACTATATGGTGGTCTTGGATATCTATAGAGTGAAGAAATTAATTTATTTTCTTTCTTTCCTTTCTTACCCTTCCTCATCATCCCAAATCTTTTTTTTTTTTTTTTTTTTTTTTTTTTAAATTTTGGGGTTTGAACCTAGGCCCTGGCTTAAGTTAGGTAAGGGTTCTACCTCTGAGCTACCTCCCCAGCCCTTTCAGTTTTTATTTTTTTTTTAATTTTAAGACAGGGTTTTACTAAACTGCCCAGACTGGCCTCAAACTTACAATCTCCCTGCTACAACCTTCCAAGTAGCTGGTAAATATAGATGTGCACCATCACACCTGACCCAAATGTTCTTGACATTTAACATGGGAGTATGTTTTTTGGGTGTTTGTTTGTTTTGCTGTGCTGAGGATTAGATTTAGAGTCTTATGCATGCTAGCCAAGGATTGTATCACTGAGCTATGCCCCTAGCCCAAGAGCCCAAGTTCTAATCTCAGACTACTTGGTGTGAATCTCAGTTTTCCACCATTTGTTAACTGGGTGATTCTCTGTATTAGTCCAGTTTTCTATTGTTATAACAAAATACCCTGAGGCTTTGTACTTACAAAGAAAAGAGGATCATTTAGCTCAGTTTGGGAGGCTCAAAGTCCAAGATCAGGTGGCCCCATCTGTTTGGCCTCTGGTGAGGGCCTCCTTGGCTATCACACAACATGGCAGAGAAGCAGGAAGGAAACTGGCTGCATGCAGAAGAGGCCAGTTGGATGAGGTGACTTCCCTTTACAACAATTCTCTTTCAGGAGAACAAACTCATTCTGAGAGGCTGCTATTCATCCCTTATGAGGATGGTGTCCTATGACCTCATTATCTTGCATGAGGCCCCACCTCCTATACCCTGCCTTCTGGGGACCAAACCTTTAGCACATGAGCCTTTGGGGAACACAGTCAAACCATACCCTAACCATAGCCTCACTGAGTTATTTAAATTCCTTGTTCAACAGTTTACATATCTGTTAAATAAGAAAATGAACACAATCCACCCAACAGGAAGGATTGCAGTAGGAATTATTTATAGTGTTCCTTTGAAATACTAGCTATTAGTGTCATAAACCTTCATCTCATCTCACAAGTTATTATCTCAATTCAACAAAACTACAATCTCTACATCACTAGATACTGCACATCGATCCAGAAGTCTTAATGGAGTGTGGCTGGTCTAACAGGTTCCTAAGTGCATCACAAGAAAGTGGCCTTGTGTGTTCAGTCTACGTCTGGCTGAATACCAGGAAGTTTGACAGTGCATTTGGTCCCACCTTTCAGTCTGTTCTGTGTAGGTTGACCTTGAATTCCAGGCCAGCCTGGGGTCACCATGGGCCAACCTAGGCACTTCAGCAGATCTGATGTGGTCCATCTAATCTATGCCATGCTGAGCGTGGTGCAGCCTGGTGCTTCAGAAGCAGCACTTCCCTGGGAGAGTCCTGCTGTTTTCTGAACTTCCCAGATCTACTCCTCTTTATCCAGAATACCTTTCTTTCCTCACTGCCTAACAAACTCTCACTTGACCTTCCAGTTTGTATTTAACTCTCACAGGAGCACAGGGAAGCCATTTCTGGTTTTTGTTTGTTTTGTTTTGCAGTAATGGGGATCAAACCCAGGGCCTCTACCCCTGAGCCACAACCCAGCTCTGGAAAGGCATTTCTGAATGCCCAAATGATGGACAGGCCCTTTGTAGTGATTTTAGAATTAGTAAGTTGCACCTGGGCACAAGAGTGCATGCCTGTGTTAGAGCAGATTATGCTAAGTGAAGTTAGCCAATCCCTAAAAAACAAATGCCGAATGTCTTCTCTGATATAAGTGGGGTGACTCAAAATGGGATAGGGAGGAAGAGCATGAGAAGAAGACTACCACTAAATAGGGAAGAGAGGTGGGAGGGAAAAAGAGGGAGAAGGGGAGTTGCACAGAAGATGGGAGGAGAACCTCATTGTTATACAGAATATATATATGATGTTGTAATGAGTAAAAGGAAAAAAAAAGTGTGTTAGATTGGATAGAGACAAAGGATGGGAGAGGAGGGGAGGAGTAGGGAGGATAGGAAGGGCAGCAGAATAGAATAGACAATATGATTGATGTATCTACATATCATGTATGTATTATATATCAAAATGCATTCTACTGTCATGTATGACTAAAATAAATAAATAAAAATTAAAAAAAAAAAAAAGAGTGCATTCCTGTAATCCCAGTGGCTTGGGAGGCTAAGGCAGGAGGATTGTAGATTCAAAGTGAGCCTTAGCACATCTCAAAATAAAAAATAAAAAGGACCGGGATCCTAATTAGAATAAGTTATATCAATGTATGTATGATATGTCAAAATATACTCATTGTCATGTATACCTAAGAAGAAAAAAAAAAAAAGGACTGGGGATGTAGCTCAGTGATAGAGTGCCCGTGGGTTCAATCCCCCGAACTCAAAAAAAAGAATTGAACCACTTGCTCAGGTTTTTTGGTCAATGTTAAGAGTCAGATGAAATCTGGGCTCCTAGAGATTTTGTTCTCAACTGAAAATGGGCTAGATGTGAATTCTTTCATCACTGAGGTGCCAAGTAGCAGTTACCACCCATTTTTGGAGGCTATTCCAAAGGAATCATATAATTTTCATTTGAGTATTATGGGGCAAACAGACATAACATGTAGAACTGGTGAACATATAGACAGGTAGCAGAGAATTATAATTTTTCATGAGCTCTGAAGTTACTGCAACTTATTTGTTATCATGATAGAACTCTAATGGACTGTAAGGCTCAACTGTAGCCCCCACAATGATCTTTTAAAACCCTGGCAGATAATCTTTACATAGCATGAATCATGCATTTTTGCACTTTTCATATGATCAAAACAACAGGATATAGCATAAGAAGATTTTATAAATATAGACAAATAAATGTGCACTTATTTCAAAACCTGCATTTATAAGCTACTTAATTCACTTTCTTCCTTATCAGTCCATTATAGCAGTCAGGTTATTTTTTCCTTATAAATGACAATATACAGTTGTAATGCAATAATTCTGCATCCAGGACAAAATGAGACAACTTTACTGGGGAATCAAATTATGCATAATAAATCTCACTATTATGTATAATTATAATGCATCAATTTTTAAAAAAAGATGGGCCAGCTTACTCATGCTCATCTATTGAGTCATTTAAATATCAAAAGATGACACATATTACCAAGACAAACATAAAAGCCTTTAAATCCTGTCTTGGAGCAGGAAAACACTCAAAACTGTGATGACAAAAATTTTAACTCATCTATCTCAATTTCTCATTATTATTCCAATTAGTTTTATGGTCACTGTACTTATGGAAGTTTCTAACTGCTGCTGTTAACTCAAGTCACTGTTGAGTACACAGGCTCACATGTTTATCTTTTTCCTTATAAAAATGTTAAACCAGCAGCCATAAATACAACTTCTTTGTTTTAAAGAGTCTAAACTAAAACAAAAGTCCCTGCCTGGTGTAGGGCAGGTATTCTGTAAACTTGAAGTACTTTCTTACACTGATTGTTTTTAACTTAAATTTTGAAATAATTTTAATTCACAGAAATGTGGTAAAAATAGTACATTGAGGGAAGCCTATCGTGCATAAACATGATACAAATATCAAAAACTAAGAAATTAACACTGGAATAAGTTTATTAACGGAACGATAGGATTTGTTAGGATTTTACCAGTTTCTCTACTAATGTCCTGTCTTGGTCTCGGAATCTAATCTGTGACACTATGTTACATAAAAATGTTTAAATTCACTAACCTGTAGGAAGCATGGTTTCATTCAAAGGCAAGTAAGCATCAGCTTCTATGGTGACTTCATGGTCATATATATTTGGGGACCCCTGGGAGGGAAAAGGAAAAAGAAAAAAAAAAGACTTACTGTTTAGTCTTTTACATATTTGCTTTATAACATTTCTTGTAAAAATGTTTTCAGGCATTGACAAAAACTTTAGAAATCCAGTTGACCAATGATACTGACTAAACAGGGTCATCTTAGTGTAGGTAGACGGGGGCCTCCAAACAACCACTGACACATGTGAGAAAAGCTTTCAACGTGTGACCCCAGCATGCATTTTCTTTTCTAAGTGGAATGTGAAGGTGAGAAGTCAGGGAGACCACAGTGGCTAGGAAGCCTTTTAGCTCCCGCTTTTTAATGGAGGGGTTTCTGCTACTCTGTCAGATAGCAGGCACAGGGAGGAGAAAGGATCACTCACCCAGTACGCAAGTCCTGGGTGGTCAAGGCACTGCCTCCAGGCCCACTAGAGGGGGACACCTGTCACCCCTCTCCCAGCTCCCATCTAGAGGCTCCACTCCCTGCCACATGACAGAAGCCCAAGAATCAAAATTGTGTTGCCTCCTTGAGAGAGTCAAAGACTAGTACGGGCCAGGCAAGGTGGTGCACACCTGTAATCCCAGCTACCCCAGAGTCTGAGGCAGGAGAATCATAAATTTAAGACCAGCCTGAGCAACTTCTGAGAACCTGTCTCCAAATAAAAAATAAAAATAAAAATAAATAAATAATAAAAATGGCTGCAGAAGTAGCTCAGGGTGCAAGGCCCTGGGTTTGATCCCTAGTACTGCAAAAAAAAAAAAAAAAGCTAGTACAGGAAACCTGAGTCAGTGGTCAGAAGGCTTGGAATCTAGTTTCCACTCACTAGGGAAGTCATGTAACCTCTGGAATACTCTCTCTCTCTCTCTCTCTCTCTGTGTGTGTGTGTGTGTGTGTGTGTGTGTAAAATTGGGATTATGATGATCCCACTTTTTCTAGGATTTTTGTGAGGCACAGTTTAGTAAGGGCTACTTGCAAATTGGAACATAAATTTATACATGTATGTTTTTAATGCAAAGGATTATTTTTATTATCCATAGTAACATATTTTAATGCTTCACAACACAAGATGGGAAAGAGGAACCAAGAGAGGGCTTTTGCTTAGTGAAGCTCAACAATCAGCCTTCCCACCCTCTATCCACCACAACAAACAATTATCTGGCCCAAAATGTCAGTGGCTGAGAAACCCTGAGCAAAGCTAAACTGAAGCTGCTGCTGAGCTGCAGAGAGGTAAGCAGAGGGGCAGAGGGGCGGAGGGCTGCAGGCTGACGGGATGCAGATTCTATGGCGAGAAAGATTCAGGCCACACAATCAAATGGAGTCATTTTAAGGCAAAAGAACAAGATTTAGGGACCATGAGATTCCATGTGGAAATGTGGCAAAAACTGGCTTAATGACACTGCTAGAAGGTTCTGCTGCTGCAGAACTGATATCCCCTGGGAGAGAAAGTGGGTTTGTGCTGGGCTGGGGTAGGAGGAAATGGGGACAATATGAGGACAGAGAGCTCTCCGCTGCTCATGCTTCCTCTCTTAGCCACTTTTTTGGTTCCTGTTCTGACTTGAGAAGGCAGGTCCAAAATGGGAGGTGGCGTGCACCCAGGTCCAGTGTAGCTCAAGACATCAGGGTGTCTCTCCTGGATAGAGGCTCCTCCCTACTGCCATCCTCTTTTACCAGGGTGGTGCTGGCACCCAGGAGGCCTTTAGGACTAAAGGGAGGAAAGATGAGAAGGGGAATTTAGAACTATTTTCCCAGCTCTATTTGTTCAATGCTCAGTTCAACAGGAGGGTTTTATTTTGCTTCGTTTTTCAGTGCCGGGGTTTGAAACCAGGGCCTTGCATATGCCAAACAAGCGCTCTCCCACTGAGCTACCCCCAGCCCTAACTTGGAAGGTTTTATTCAGTCCAGGCAGCAGCAAGGAAGGTTGAGTGCAAAGCCATGATGGTATTAGATTGACATCTACAGTCCACATAGAGGACTGAAGAGTCCCAGGAAAGGACAGCCTGACCAAAAGAACACCTCCATCCTTTCTTTGCATATATGAGGCTTGAGACACACAACCTCTCCTACACCATCCAGTGAGCAAAGCCTGCAGGAGATGACTCCTAGCCTAGCATTTATCAGGTCTTCACTCAATTTCCACAGGTGCCTGCCTCCTTCCATTCTTTTTGTTTGTTTGTTTGTTTTAAGATAAATGCCCATTTATAACCAGGATGCTATTCTAATTTCTATGAGCATAGATGAGTTGTACGTGTTCTAGAACCTCCCGTAAATAGAATCCTACGGTAGATATTCTTTTGTGTCTCATAAGGTTTTTGAGATCACTCATGTTATTGGATCAGTAATTTGGTCCTTTTTACTGTTGATAATATTCTACTATACCATTATATCACCATTTGTTTACCCATTCTCCTGATGGGTAGATGGACTTGTGGATTGTTTATAGTGTTTCACTATCATGAACAAGACTGCTTAGGAGTTTCCTTTTCTCTTTTTCTTTTTTGTTTTGTTGTTTTTAAAGCAATGGGCAGGAGGAAAATGAATTAACAAAAAAAGTCACATTGCAAAAAAATGGATGAGTCTGACATTATAAGAAGAAGCTGAGAGGAGCAGGAAAAGATGCTTACTGTGCTCCCAGTGGCCTCTGGGTCACCAAGTAGCACTAATACCCCTTCCTGAAAGAGAAGCATGATTCAGTTCACGCCTCTTCTGGCTGGAAAACTCCAATGATCTACTCTGGTGGAATATTACTGTTAGACCCATTTCCGTTCAAGGTTGATGAACACTTGGCAAGAAATGTTGACTCACAAACAATCTTGAGATCCATCTCTGAGTTCAGTGTTTTGGTGAACTTTACTCGATTAATACCAGTTTGTAACATGAGCCATTTACAAAGCCCATTACAACTTGCATAGAGATTTTAAAACCTTTTCTGTTCATTGCCACAGTTCCTGCCTTAATTCATCTTTTAATGTGTTTAGCAGGAGTAACAGACACTGTTGACTACTGCCCAGAAGTCATAGTGCCTTTCCCTTCACCTGTACCCTCCCTTTCTCCTGGGAGAAACTTGACTTGTTGATTTATCTATGTTAAGTCATAGATTCAGGCAAGGAACATTTTCCCGAGCCCTAGAGGCCAAATTTTGGTTGGTCTAGATCAATCATGGCAGTCTCAGATTCCCGTTGGCAGAGAATGAGTCACACTTTTGGCCAATGAAATGTGAGTCTTCCAGGAGCTTCTAGAAAAGGTTGTACTTGTTCTTAGAAAAGAAACATTAGAGATATGAAAAAGGTAAACATCCTCTTTTGTCTCTGGGGGTGACTGTATGAGGAGGTGACTCTTGGAGCTGTAGCAACCACCCTGTGACTGAGGGGGACAAACCTGAAGACAAAAACCAAAACACTGGGTTGGGGTTGTGGCTCAGTGGTACAGTGCTTGCCTGGCATGTGTGAAGCAATGGGTTCGATTCTCAGCACCACATATAAGTAAATAAAGGTCCAACAACAACTAAAAAAAAAAAAAAAAAAAAGCCAAGACACTGAGGAAGTAGAACAGAAAAATGGAAGAACTTGGTTCCTTGATGACGTTATCTACCTAGTCATACCAGAACCACAGCTATTGCTTTTCATCTCAAATTCCACTAGGCCTGCTTTCAGAGGTCTTTAGGTTAAGTTTCAAACAGTTCTCACATCCTACCTCTCAGACCCCCCCAACCCACAAACTAGAAGTAGCAAGCCAATGCTTGGGCCCCAAAATAGAACAAAAATACCATTTGTTAGATTTAGAAAACAAAAAAAAGTGAACAGATGTAACATGAGCTGGCTACTTTATTCATTTATTATTTTTGTGCTAGGTGCTAGGAATTGAACCCAGAGCCTGTCCATGCTAGGCAAGTGCTCTACCAGTGAACCACATCCCAGCTAATTACTTTAAATATCATGTTTTGAAGTATTTCCCTGGAGAGGGCTTGACATGTGATAATGCTTCCCAGGATAGGGCAAGGGATGTTCTGAATATGCAGCGGCTCTTGACCCCAGACCTGGTGAGCATCCATTCCTACCCAAGTGCCCCCAAAGGCTGGTGCTCTTAATGCTGAGGCTGGTGGTTGTAGATTTGAGCTGCACTTACTAAGAAAGTCTAAGAAGGGAGGTTTATATTGACTGCTCTTCTGGGTGGGGTCTCTGATCTAGGAAACTATTCATCCTCTGAAAAGAGATTCAGAAATATCTGTCACTCCAAGTCCCTGCAGGATTAGAAAGGTGACAAATGCAAAGGGCCTTAGTAAACCTTAAATTCCCATTTTATCTCCTTCACTGGAAGAACACTGGCAGATGGAATACTTCATGTGTAATTTCTCTTTCTATTTCTGAATCAATTCATTTAGATCATTCCCAAGGTTATAAAATAATATGTCCTAAGCCTATCAAAATTCAGAAAACAGAAAAATCATCACAATTTACTATCTACCTAAAACAACATAATGTGTTTTGTTTTGTTTTGTTTTTCTTTCTCTAATTCTGCCCTTTCTGAACCCATTTAAAAAAGTAGATCCTCTTACGAATGGGTGTTTTTGTTTTGTTCTTAGCTTTTGGTTTAGTTTTCAGATTTCAGGAAGGATGATGGATGTTCTGGAGATAAGATCAAACAAGGGAAGAGCCATATTTCTTATTTTTAAAGGGAAAACTTTGGAAATTTTATCAGAACCAATTACCTCTGTTATTTAAGAAAATTATCCACTCCCCCCCCCAAAAAAAATCAGCAGCAAATTCCTAAAAGTTGGGGAGGACAAAAATGTAAGCTAATACTTGTTGACTGTACATAGGCTTGAAGGAAATCATGCCCACATGATTCAAGTTGAGTGGACCATGATTTCTTCAGATAATGAGGAAGTAACAGATAGAATCTACAGAGTTGGGCTCAGCCTGTTTTCTGCCTCCTGTGATAGGCTCCTCAATAAGCTGAAATGTTCCCTTTTGAAGGGAATGAGGTGGTTTAGAGGGGATCGCTCAAGGGCACTGTCAGTGGCTCTCTGCCACCTGTAGGGAGACATTTTAAGAGTCCTCCTCCTGGGGCTTATCCCTGGGCTGGGTTGATTTCAATGTCTTTACTGACAACTTCATAAAGTGCTTCTGACAGGGGCTGATAAATAATAGGTAGCTATTATTACGAAATTAAGAACATGCCTCTTATTCTGAAAAAAACAAACCAAAATAAAAACAAAACCCACCAGGTCTTCTAAATCCAGGTCTAATGCTCTTTCTACTGTCCTGTGCAGGGCATGACTGGCCACCAGAATCCCTGGAAGGAGCTGGTGGGCTGCACAGTGGGAGTACACAAATATTAAACGGGCTGGTTCAAGTATAATTCGGAGAATTATATCTGCTTCCTTAAATGGAAGTAACTGGAGGGTCATGTAGGAGTACAATAAGGGAAGCAGATGTGAGCACATGCTGCAATCAGATGAGAGTGAATTCTTGAAATAGCCACGGGAACAGATACCCTTCTTGACAGTACAATGTATTCATTCCATCTTCTTCCTCTATGACTTCCATTTATTGAACACCTACTATGAGCCAGATGCTCTCCTGGGCTCTTTTCATCATTGTCAGGACCAGAGTAAGTCCATACTGGGTTGATCTCTCCAGTCACAGTCCCTGGTTATTCCACGAAGCAAGTTACAGCAGGAGAGAAGGAGTGAGTTCACTTACCTGGCCGGCCAGGTTGAAGTAAGCATGGTTGGTCAGACTGACTGGTGTGGTCTGACTGGCTTGTGCTCTATAGTTGACCACGAGCTCCCCACCATCCAGGGTGTATGTCACCCAGACTTTTAACTCTCCAGGGTAGCCTTCCTCACCATCTAGACTGATGCGGGAGAATTGGATGCCATTTGAGAGCACCTGAGGGGTCCAGAGGACCTAGAAAAAAGTGTTTTCAAAGCTGCTTATTTGCTTCAATCCCAAGTTAAATGCCACACTTCAATATTTAAGGATAACTGATTCCAGAAAGGGAGTTCCTCAATCATTAAGGCTTGGATTAGTAGCCTGGATTTGAAATAATCTAAATCTCTGATTTGTACAGAAAAGAGGCATTTTTTTTTCCTGTTTACCTACTCCCATTCCTTATACTCTTTTTTTGGGGGGTGGGGTTATCAGGGATTGAACTCAGGAGCACTTGATCACTAAGCCACATCCCCACCCTATTTTTCATATTTTTTATTTAGAGACAGAATCTCACTGAGTTGCTTAGCACCTCATTTTTGCTGAGGCCTGAGGCTGGCTTTGAACTCACAGTCCTCCTGCCTCAGCCTCCAGAGCCGCTGGGATCACAGGCATGTGCCACCTTGCCTGGCTCCATTACTTATACTCTTTCCTCTTAACCTTACATGTATGTATCTACAATATTTTCCTCTTTGAATTTTTCTTGGATATATATTTATTTTAATCTTGGTGCTCCATTCTGGTGTTGTGTAGCAATATCTTTTTATAGTACTAAAAAATAACCTCAATAAATCAACCCCTCTCTCTGGTGTACTGTATACAAATATTAATGAAAAACACTCCAAGTTTCTCTTATTCCCTGGACAGAGTTTATAGCAAATTGGGCACTTGTTCCATTAGGATTCAGTTCCAGCCCACAAGTCAGGAGTCATGGTTTTGGAGCCAGATCTGTTCCTAGTTCATTGTGTAAATTTGGGCATCTATCACTTCCATAAAATTAAGGAGCTAGAAAAATTACCTTGAAGGTTTTGTCTGTGTTCTAACAAATTCTAAGAAAGGCAAGAAAAATATGAAGAGAAAAAAAGGAATCTTGAATTAACATAGAGGTTCCTCTTCACTTTGCCTGAAAGGCCCCAAGATCACACTTTCAGGGAAGGGAGAACCAGCATTTATCAAGTGTTCGTTATGAAGAAAGGCACCTAGCCAGAAACTTTACAGACACTACCTCATCTGTCTACTTCAAGTAGTGCCATCATTCTCATTGAGTGACCACACACTGAGACTCAGGAAGGGTAAACTGCTGGCCCCAGGTCATGCAGCTTGTAAGTGATAGTGGATTTGACCCAGCCCAAGCCTGTTCCCTTATGTTACAATAGCAGCATGAGTTGACCAGAGTCCTTGTCCTTTAGGGAGCTCTGGGATCACTAGTAAAGAGTTTATTGCACACATGAGACCTCCAATCTGTGGAGTATTCACCAGTCACTGATGCCTTACATAAATCACCTTGCAAGGAACTTTTTGGTTGAACTAAACGAAATGACCGTCCCTGTAGGTCAAAACTGTTGAACACTGGCAATCTCTTATAGTTCCAACTAATATCATCCCCACTTTACAGATGAACAAATTAAGTTCAATGGAGTTAACCTGCCTGTTTCTCCCCATACATTCCAGAGGTATAGAATAGAACCCTTTAATACAGCATAGTTTAAAAAGAAAAAATATTGTTTAAAATCATACATGTAATTAGTGACAGAGCTAGGATTCCAACTCAGGTCTGGCTATCTACATGATTTCACATCTTAGTTTCAGTGAACAGCTTTATTCAAATCTCCATTTTCAACAGAAGAGTCAAACTCTCACTCCAAACACAGTTAAAAGATAATAACCTTCTGCATCAGAGGAATAGCCCTGCAGCCAGGCTCTGCCCATTCACTCTAGCCTGGGTCTGGCTCTCACAGGTGTTCTGTCTGCCAGGAAGGGGAGCCCAGCAGGGATGGAGCTCTCTACCTTCATCTACAATGAGAGCATCTGGCGTTGACACAAATTCACTGAGCTCAGTAAAAAATTTAATTTATATCCTAATTATCTCTCAGAAATATTGAACTTTCAAGACACTTAAAATAGGAAGACTGTTATATATGTAATTAAAAAAAGAAAAAAAAATTCCCCAAATGGAAAATTCTAGGAATTAAATATCTGAAATAAAATGCTCTTACCTTGCTACCCAGATTTTCTTCTTTAGGGAAACGAAAGAATGGAAAGATTTTGGTGTAAACAAATATTTTCAGTTACGTGTAATTCCCATTCATGGAAGAATTTCTCTGACCTTATAGTTTCTAACTCTCTAGGAACTTTAAATATGCAGACTTTCTTATACTATTTCAAATCCTGTCAGGTTATTTAATTTTCATCTTTTAAAGAATTGTGCTGATCTGCACAGAAAAACACACACCCCCAACCTAAACTATTCATTCAGTAATTGTTGAAATCCAGTACAACTTAAAATAAAGTCCATCTGATACTGCTAATGATACCTATCTAAAAACTTACTGCTGAGAAACGTTCAGGGGCTCCATAAGTATTCTCATCTTTTTCCCACCCATCTCTGGGCCCCAGTATAGCCATTCTGTCTAATACCCACAGATTGAATGAAATGCTACCTGTTCTTCAAAAGCTGTTCAAGTCCCACCTCCATAACTATTCATTTGTTCATGATCAGCTCTTCTAGTATAATGTTAGCATCTATGTTATGGTGCCTGTGGAAGCTCAGCTGTTAATAGTTATGTAAGGGTCCATCTGCCTCATTATACTGTGAACCTCAGGAATCCCCAGCCTGTTATGCTCTGTGGTTCACAAAAGGGGCCCACTGCACGGGTTTGGGCTATGGTTTGAATGTGTCTTCCAAAAGTTCATATGTTTAAAACGTAATTACCAAACTCATGCTAATGGTATTTGGAGATGCAGCCTTTGGCAGGTAGTTAGAATTAGAGGAGGTCATGAGAGAGGTAACCTCCGATGGCATCAATGGTTTTGTTTGAAAAGGAAGAAAGACCCAAACTGGTACAGCTGCTCATTCTTGCCATGAGATGCCCTCTTCCATGTTAAGACGCAACAAGAAGGCCCTCACTAGAGGCTGGCATCACACTCTTGGACTCCCCAGTTTCCAGAACTGTGAGGGGAAAAAAATCTTTGTTTTTATAAATGACCCAGTCTATGTATTTAGTCATAGCAACAGAAAATGGAGTAAGACAGATATGCATTCTTATTATTCTTCTGTGTTAATAAAGGGAATACATATGAATACATACACTGCAGAAAATACCACAGTGGAACAGAAGGAGAAGAGCAAGGTGCTGTTCTGAGGGTCCTCTGAAGATCCCTGTAGGAACTCGGCCCAGCTTCTTCTAGATGGGGTTTACTCATGGACCTGGCATGTTCTAAAGGATCTCTGCCCTCTGCTCTTGGGCACAGCAGATGCTACTAGGGAGAGCTTTTTGCTCTCCCTAGGGTGAGGAGTCCATCACTGAAGAAAGGGAAGCCAATGGGATCTGGTTCTTGGCTACAGAGAGGAAGCTGGAGGGAGAGGGGAAAACCTAGAGCAACCAACTTCCTTCAGCAGGAGAAGTGGAGGCCAGAGGCAGAAAAAAGGAAATCATGGCCTTTAGTTACCACACATTTTACTTCCTATCTTCTCTATCTCCACTCTAGCAAACAACCTGGGTGGTATAATTTAAAGGAGAGCTCTCTGAAATTTTTTTCCCTCAGAGACTAAAATGAGACTGGCAGGAGAGTCTGTGGGTTAACCCACAGACTCCCACAGACTGTGAAGCAGGAGGCCAGGAACTCTGATCTCAGGGAGTAGCTTGATCCCTTTGCTTTCCAAGGATTGGAGTTTTTATTTAGGGAATGGAGTTTTTATTTAGAAAGGGGGATCTGGAGGAGCCTAAGGTAATTTCAAGGCACAAAGCACTTCAGTGGAAGGGCAGGCCCGGGTCTGGTGCCACACTGCACAGGAAGGATGCAAACAAGAGGAACAGGGAGGTGTATTGGATTGGGGGTCCCCACAGTGGCCATGGAGGACACCAGCAGCTCTAGTATAGTGATGAGGGCTTGGAGCCAGGCAGACCTGGCTGTCCCCTTTAGGAATCATGTGCCTTTCACATTCTCAGATTTCTCATTTGAGTGATGATACAGGTCTCTTGGAAAGGTCAGAGACAACATACGTGAAGGCCTATGCAGTAGAGGGTGGGTAGGTATTTATCATTAACCCACATTTCTTCAACCTGATTCCCTGATCCCAACACTATGAGAAAGTTGTTCCACATCTTCCCTAAGTCAGGGATCATGGTCCTTTCACTCAAGGATCCCTGCTTGTGACAGTCAGATGAATTAGAGAAGGATGGATCCTGGATGTGGCCATTTGCATCTGCTCCCCCAAACCCTGGGAACAGCCTTTTTCCTGGATTGCTTTACCATGCACATGTCCCAGGGCCTAGGATTCTGCTTGGCAACAGAAGACATGCTTGTGGGTACTCTGGGAAGTGGACCAAGAAAGGACTCTGCCACATGCCCTGGACTCACCTTGTCAAACCCTTTAAGTCCTCCATGCAGACTGTTGGGCCCATTGTTAATGGCCAGGTGATACTCCTTCCCATCCAATGTGAATGTTCCTTTGGCAATTCGGTTGGCCACCCTTCCAACCACTGCTCCAAAGTAGGGCTGCTTTTGGAGGTACCCTGAAAGGACAAGGATGACAGTGTTTTTTAAAACTTCAAACAGAAGAGGTGTCTTACACTGCTGCCTATCACTTTCTTCTTGAGGAAGCCACAACTACCTACAAGTTGGCCATATCAAAGTCTTCATGAAAGCACAGAAAAATGGTATTTTTTTTTCACACCTGACATTTTCCTGTTCCAGAAGTAATAAATATTCATTACAAAAAGTTTTAAAGAATTTTATAACACACAAAGAAGAAATTTAAATCCTCCTTAATCTTATCACTCGAGAGAACCACTGTTAATATTCTTATATATATCCTTCTGTCTTTCAGTGTAAAAAGTGCATTTGCTTCTTTTTATAAACTGGGATCTTAGTGGGAATGTTGCTTTATAATCTGCTATTTTCTGAGCCAATCAATTTTCTTAACTAAAAATTGGACTTTTGTGTTGTCTTGAGAGAAAACTATCTAATTCTTCTTTCTCTTTTCATGTTTTTGTAAAATCATATAATTAGAACATGTAAATATCTTTAATGAGAGTTAAATAATACCCAAGGACATAGAGTAGGATTGCCAGAGGAAATACAGGATGCCTAGTTAAATCTGAATTTCAAATAAAAAATGAATAATTATTTAACAGTATTTAAGTAAGTTCATAGTACTATTATAGATGAGACAGTATAAGTTGTTTACCTGAAATTTAAATCAGACTTTTATATTTTCATTTGCTAAATCTGGCAAATTTAATAGTGTAAAACATTTTAAAAGCCTTTCTTCACTTCTCTTCCTTCCTAATGTCAATCACTGTTAACCGTTGGGAATGTACAATTTTTTCAAAAATTGAATTAACTACATATAAGCATCATGCAAGAAGACAAACACATGTATATTCTATACAGTTATAATTGAGTTATACACATTGTTCTGTAACTTTTCATTTATCAAATATCTTAAGGTTTCTCCCTGTTACTACCTATCTACCACATTCCTTTGATTGCTACAGGGCATATTGATGAAAATCAAATGTTGTTGGGCTTTTTTATTTTTTGGTGGTGGTGGTGGTGGGGGTTATAAAAAGCAAAGCTCCATTGTTGTAGTTACAACTTTGAACAAGGGCATATTCCAGTAAAAGTACTTAAAGTACTCTTCTTAAAGTTTTTCTCTTCTTAAAGTTTACTATTCTTACAGTTTTTTTAAGTTCTTCTGTGGTTTTCCATGGAACAGATTAAGATTTGGAGACAGTTTGTTTTTGCATTTTCACCAAAATTCCTTTCTGTTCTATTTCTCACTCAAATGCACTCTGGATTCCATTCTCCTTCCCTGGGGTACTCTGTATCCTCCATGTCTAGTTAGGATTAGCAAAGAATGCAATTCAAACATATGACCTATTTTTCAGACCCTGAATCAGCCAGTGGCTGGTCACTGTTCCCATTAGGCAACTGGTTGGGCACAAGTTAATCATTCTCTTCCAGGTCCTGTTCCTTCCTCATTAATCCATGGTGTCTCAGAATCTTGTAAATGAACTATTATAACAGCGGACACTTAGTACTTTCTAAGTCCCAGACACTTTCTCAGGGCTCTACATTTAATTCATTTCATCCTCAGAACATTTCTCTTAAGTAGATACTATTATTGCCCCAGTTTACTGATGTGGAAACTGAGGACAGAAAAGTTTAGTAACTTGCTCTAAAACACTAGTTAGCAAAGGAATCAAGACTTGAATCCAAGTAGTCTGGCTCCTAATCCATACTTTTAAGCATTGCTTACCAGTGGTCCCTTCCAGGAAAGTGTATAAATGCTCAATTCCTCATATACGATGTGGGTAGCATTTGCATAAAATCTATTCACATCCTCTTTCTTCTTTCCTCAGTACTGGGGATTGAGTTACACCCTCAACCCTTTTTATTTTTATTTTGAGACAAGGTCTCACTAATTTGCAGAGGCTGGCCTAGAACTTGCAATTCTCCTGCCTCAGCCTCCTGAGTATCTTGGATTACAGGTGTGTGCTACTGCACCTAGCTCCCCCCATATACTTTAAATCATCTCTAGATTATATATAATCCCTAATACAATGCAAATGCCATATAAATAGTTTTTGTACTTTATTATTATTTAGGGAATGACAAGAAAAAAAGTCTAAACACATTTAGTACTATTGCAGTTTTCCCCAAAATATTTTTGATCTGTGGTTGGTTGAATTCACTGATGCAAATCCATAGATACAGAGGGCCAACTGTATTTAGCAAGCACCAGGCATCCTGGTTGGCCCATCTAATCACCGTCTCTAGGCACTGGTGGGGTTCATTGCTCCGTCAGTTCCCACTTTCTCCCCACCTTCTACTTTCTGAAGCTGTAGTTTTCAAACCCCTTAACAGTGGTTAAACAAAAGGAGTCCCAAAAGGCAAACAACCTCTTCTTGGTTTTGTTTCATCTTCTCTTTAGACAGAAAAGGGGATAATCCCTCTCCTGCCCACCATCAGGGGTCATGGCTGACACCTCTATAACAAAAGACAGGTTGACAAGAGAAAATCATATTTGATTATAGTTTCACGTGACACAGGAACCTTCAGATTGAAGACTCAGAGACCCAGGGTGAACTAACCATTTTTATTCTTAGGAGAGATGAAGCATGGACAGCCATTTAGAAATAGAACTGGACAAAAAGGGTATTTTCTGAAAATCATGGCAGACCCTGCAAGGCCTGTCTGCCCAGATTCTTCTTGGCCTGTCTGAACAGCAATCCTTCCTCCCAGCTACGAACCAAGACCCTTTCTAGAACAGGAGTCCTAGGACCTACAATTGAACAAGAGGTCAGAGAAATTTTTTTATGGCTGACTCTTAGAGAGAAAGTGTGGTGTGTGTGTGTGTGGGGGGGGGGGTTAGAGTAATATTTCTAGCTTTTATCTTGACTTTGGGGAAAAGGGGGTTCTAGTTTTTATGACCTGCCTTGGAGAAGAGCAATCCTAGCTTCTATGGCTTGCCTCAAGAGAAGGCCAGAGGGAAACTTTGCTTTGAGGTTGCTTCTGCAGACATCAATTTGGGATGTCTGAGCCCAATAAAGTTTAAAAATGTAAAGAAAAGCAGATTGTCTAAACAAACAAACAAACATACAACAACTGGCTGTGGCCATTTTTAGTCCGATCTCAATATTTTTCCACAAGTGTACCCAGAGCCCCCATCCTCCACCAGAGGTATACTAGGCCTTGGAGACAATCTGACAGTAAAGCTCCTGCCACACTGGCTGTCAAGAATTCCCTCAGAAGCCACGACTCCTGGCAACAGTTCATCAGCCTGTGGAGATGAGAAGTACCTGCCAGTTCCTTGGTTTAGACTAATAGTTTTTAAGAATTAATCCATTAGGGCACTAAGGTTGTTGCTCAGCAGTAGAGCGCTCATCTACGCAGGTAGGGGGCCCTGGGTTCTATCCTCAGCACCACATAAAAATAAAGTAAAGGTATTGTGTCCAACTACAACTAAAAAATAAATACTAAAAAAAAAAAAAAAAGAATTGATCCATGAGGACGGAGAAACCACTTATCCAAGCTGTCTCTGAAAAAACCTTAACAGAACAAATAGATTTCATACTATTTTCAAATGTAATTAAGCATTTGTATCAAATCAGTCTTATGGAAAAATGAAAATCCCCAAATTCTGAATAAGGAATAATAATAATAAGGAATAATAATAATAAGGAATGCAGAAAATTCTGTTTTATGTGAAAAGTTCAAAGTTCCTAGGTCAAGCCACGAATACTGATTTAATCAAATCAGCTGCTGAGGTGGGAGAAAGAGGATTGGGAAAGTCTGCTCCTTTTCCTGGGCAAGGCACTGGCCAGAATAAATCAATAAATGCTTAAGCATGGTATATGGCCCTTTCCACTCCTCTAACCTCCCAAGATCCCCAACTATGACACCCACCTCAAAAAGCCCCAACCTTCACCAGAGTGCTCTAAAGTCTGAAATAAATTATTCACTACCCTCCCTCAAAACAACCCAGCAAGATGGTGCAAAACCTATAATCCCAGCTGCTCAGAAGGCTGAGTCAGGAGTATTGCAAATTCAAGGCCAGTCTGGGCAACATAGTAAAACCTACCTCAAAAAAAAGTACATCTATATCCATATCTATATACGCATATATATAACATATAAATATATACATGCATTTAATTATATATGCATACATTATAATAAGTAATATACAATATATTACATATTATACATCATTACTATAAATATTATTTATTTATAATATTATAAATATTAGTATGACAATTATACAATAACAACATTATAATATTATATGTATAATAACATAATATTGTATAGTATATAATTTAATTATTATATATACATATATTAAATATATATGCACATATGCATATGTATTTAATTAATTTTTTAAAACTCCAAACAACATTTATTACTTGAATGACTGTCTTTTGGTCAGATGAGGAAAATAACCGAAGTTTAATTGACAAGCATTCTAATTATCCCAAACATGTTATATATTTTTAAAAGGCTGTTGGTTGCCCAAGCTGAAGTTCCACATAATTTTTTGCAGATTTAACAAAGTGAAATAGAAAGTTCTAGTCGTATGATGGAAGGTATTTGGGGGCAAAGGAAAGAAAGCAGACACATCTCCGGTCAGACACATATCACAGATCATAGTGCACTGAATCATCATAATCCATTTGTTTCAGGGGAGGCACTGCTCTGAAGAGGTTAAAAAAAAAAACTTGCCCAAGATGTTACACAACATTAAAAGACAAAGTGGGGAGTCCTCAATGCTCCCATAAAGGTACTCTTAGGCATTTGAAATATTACACTGCAGTCTCTAACCTGATTGCTTTTATCCCCACCTCCTCTGCTTAACCCAGGTTTCTAAAAGCATTTTTGTTTGTTTATTTATTTATGAAGTTCTGGGGATCCAGCCCATGACCTCACATGTGCTGGGCAAGTGCCATAATGACTCATGGCAGCAATAGATGGCTGTTTGGTAGTAACTGGGGGGAAATGAAAGAAAGGAATCTCATGGATTTTATGGGTAAGTTGTTTATGCATGTGGCTTACAAGCAAACATTCTCATAACAGGCTTGAAAGGAGTCATAAGGACTGTAGGTGGGACACAGATAAAAAAGATTTTTAAAGAAAAGAAATGGTAGCAAAACTCACAGAAGGTTTTTTTTCTAGGTCATACCTAAAAGATCGGATAATTTACTCTTTAGAATCCTTCAGAAGAAAGATCTCATTTTCCCAGAGAGAAATCGAGCCATTCTGACCTCTGGTTATGGCTGTCATCCAAGCATTTATATAATCTATCTGGGAAACTGGAGAGTGTTCACATCCAACCTGGCAGTTACAAAAGGACTATGTCTCATCAAATTACTCATGCTTAGCTCTCCCTTGTAGCTCAAAACACTTTTGGAACATGATAATGTCAAGACAATACCTTGCTCTGTCGAATCTTATTACTTTAAATTATTTACCTGTATGTTTATATGTACTCACATAATCAGACATTTTAAAAGAATATAAAGAAGGTCCTTTCCTACACCTTAACTATCCAAGGTCCTTTCTTAAGGACAACCACTGTGGCTAGTTTTCTTTTAGGGATGCTCTACCACTAAACTAAATTGAAACCCCTTTTTACTTTTTACTTTGAGACAGGGTCTCACTAAATTCCCTAGGCTGTCCATGAACTTGAGATCCTCTTGCCTTAGCCTCCCGTGTAGCTGGGATTACAAGAATGCATCACTACGTTGAGGTTAGTAGTTTCCTAATATGGCTTTTAATAAATTAGAATTAACCAAAATAGTAGCAGAGAGCCATTTCTTACTTTCTGATTGAGGCAATATGCTTCCTATTATGACATATGTGAAGTCTTATCTTTGGCAATACTAAAAGACAAGGCCTTATAAAAGAAACTTGGGTCCACTTATGGTAACCTTAAAGATGGCTGAACATATCAGAAAGTGTAATTTAATATACTGAGGGTGTTTTCCCTTTATATTGTCTTTTGAAAATAGTTTTCTTTCCTTTTAAAATAATTAAATTATCTGAATTGTAGCACAGGAATGAAAATGTCCATCTTGGACCAGCACCAAGAAGAATATTTGAAATGCTTTGATTTAAATTGGCGTTCTGTGAAGCTGTGGTGCCTTCTGCTGAGAAAATGCCACTGAACATTCTCAACATATGTTGGTACTAGGGAGGGCAATAAAATAGCAGCTAGATCACTATAATCTAGGGGAGCTAACGTGTTTTCTTCCTTTTAAGAACATTTGAGAACATTTGGGAAGGATTCTTTCACCGAGACTCCCACAAGGTTTACAGTCTCACACAGGATTATGTGAATGTCTTTGCACTTCCACACCTATCAAGAAACTGGTGCTTCCTGGGTGTCATGTCATCCGGAAGCTTGTCATCACAGCTCACATTCCATATGAATTCCAAAGATCTTTGTGCTTTTACATTCATGTGACTCTTAGAACTAAAAATTGCAGGAAATAAGAGAGGTGTGCATATGTCTGCAGGGGGTGGACAGTACCTTTCTGAATGGTGATAAGGGATGGTGCCCACAATTTTATATCCCCAATTTTTTTCCGTGGATCAGGAATTCCAGGTTAAATATCCAATTCTCCTTTGACTCCCCTGAACAATTTTGCATGAGTCAAGTAAACTCTTTGAGTTGCGTGTGGTGGGCAAACTGTGATCCCAGCTACCTGGGAGGCTGAGACATGAGGATTTGGAGTTTGAAGCTGGCTTGGACAATTTAAGGAGATCCTATCTCAAAATTAAAATAAAAAGGGTCAGAGATATAGCTCAGTGGTATAGCTCTTGCCTAGAATGTGTGAGGCCTAGTACTGAAACAAAAAATAGATGCAATCTTTTGTGGTTCTATCTGCAGCCTATAGCAGAGACAAGTGACTCGGCAAAGTGATTATAGAGAATCCTCTTTGGTCACTTGCCTGCCCTCTCGGCTTCTAATTCTGAAGATGTGTGGAAGGGAAGTGACGCTGATCTTTCTCACATCCCCATACCTTCCTACAGTCAGCCTCCTGTACCAGCCTCCTCACTTAAGTTGCTGCTAAAGAAGCATTTTTGTTTGTTTATTTGAGGTTCTGGGGATCTAACCCAGGGCCTCACATGTGGTGGGCTAGTGCCATAATGACTCATGGCAGCAATAGATGGCTGTTTGGTAGTAACTGGGGGGAAATGAAAGAAAGGAATCTCATGGATTTTATGGGTAAGTTGTTTATCTATGTGGCTTACCAGCAAATATTCTCATAACAGGCTTTGAAAGAAGCCATAAGAACTGTAGGTGGGACACAAGTAAAAAAGATTTTTAAAGATAAGAAATGGTATGCAAAACTCACAAAAGGCATTACTGGTTTTTTCCTAGGTCATACCTAAAAGATCATATAAAGAAAACTGGGGGGCTCCAGGGCTGGTGAAGACAAGCAGAGGTGATCAATAGGACCTTCAGCAATATTCTTACAATAAATTTTGTTAAGGAAACTGAGAGTAAAGTTTTATGCTAAGTGGAAAACAAAACTCTCAGGAGTTTTCCTGTTGACCCGGAACCATGAGCCAAGTTAAACATCTAAATAACCCAAGGGATAGAGAGATACACCAAAAGGGAAACCTCAAACTTCTTCTCATGCAGAATTTGTCCACACCCAACAGCCAGCAGAGCTTATTAATTCTCAGTTTCCCTTGGCCAATTTTATTTCAGACCTCATTTTCTGTTTGGTTACACTGCAGTGCCAAGAGATAGAAGCATGTACCCATTCTCTTGCTACAATCCAACTGCAGTTGTAATTATACATTTATGGAGTTATTTGGGTTAAAAACCATCTCCTTAGCTAAACGGCAAGCTCTGTGAAGGGGGTGGGCGTGGGGGCTTGTCTGTGTTGTCGAATGTGTTACCAGAGTTTTAAAATGCATGAATTAACACATCATCCTAATTGCCCATAGACCCCAAGGGGAGAAAGTCCATCTAGTTAGAGGTGGTCTTCTCCCTTTCTGTCAGTACATGCTTATTGAGCGGCAAGCAGGGTGGGCTGGGCTGGGCATCATAACCAAAACAGCCAAGCTCTCTGCTGAGCCTGCACTTAGCTTAAGTCATGGAGCATTTCTGGGACAATCAGTCTTCAAAGAGAATCTGATGAAGAGTAACTAGTAGACGCAAGTCTTTGCTTTTCCTTCTTCTGAAAAGAGCAGAACCGGAAGAAGAAGGAGCCACGCCCCCGTTGCCAGCAGTTCAAAGTTTGCTCCAGGATTGCTGGAGTTTGGTCTTACTTTTTGCGTTAACTGAGGCAAAGCCTGAATGGATAACCAGCAGACAAGAAACCAAGTCCTTTAGCTACTCGACTTGGAATCATTCTGGGTTTTCATTTCCCCCCAAGCTCCGGATCGCCACACTGCCCTGTTAGCCAACCCACGCACTCCCCAGTTAGATCGTCCCAAGATCACTCAGGGACTTTGACCTCAGTCCCTTGCTCACAGGCGGCCGAACGTTCGGGGTGCGTGAAGGGTGGTCCTGATCATCCCCTCGGCCCGGGATTGGTGGAACCCACCTTCCAACTCGGCAAAGCCAAGAACCACGTCGGAGGCTTTCCCCTGCCTGTCTTTGACCTCCAGAGCGGTGATGGTGCAGCCCCAGGAAATGATGTCCACTTTCAACAGGTCTGATTGTAGCTGGAACTTCTCCACTGTCCCTCCTCCGGAGGGCAGCTCTCCAAACATTGTTCTGGTCACCGAAACCATGGGGAAAGTTCGGGGCGTGCAGCTACTCTGTGCTCTTAGAACTCCAGCAGCCGAGTTGAGGCGCTTACTGCAGGAGGGGCGGGACTCCGCTCCGCTTCCTTGCCTGGATTTAGCCAGTGACCACTCCTGCCACAAGTATCCTCTGGGGCTTTTCCATATCCTTCCTTTGCCTGAGGTGACAGAAAGGCAAGCCAAGCGTTTGCTGACCCTGGCTGCACTGCATGTTGGGAATGGTAGTCTTTGGGAGGTGAAATTGCATTTTGGAGCCTGTAGTCTTTCAAAACCCAAATCTTGAGTTATCTGTGTCCCATCCCCTTCTCCTGCACACTTTTTCAGCGTGCAATGATCTGGTCATTATTGTTGATGGCTGATTGTCAGACAAAGTACTGGAAAATGCAGAGAGCAGACTTAGGGACAAAGAGGCAGATCTTGGAGAAAATTCTGGTTAACACTTTGATGAAGAACAAAGAGTACAGAGGTAATTTAGAGAGGGGGTAGGTCATTGCAGGCTTCTTAGCACACTGATTGAAGATGTGCTCTTTTTGTAACACAGGATGAAGCCCTAGACATGGTCCTGATGGAGTCACTCCTGAGGAACCTCCTCAGACTGCTGGCAGGCATTAGCAACCTAGACAGGGTCTGGTAGAGGGGTTAGGCCCTTCTTTGGAGGTGATCAGAGATAGCTTCAGACTTTCTTTTCTTCAAGGAGGAGCCATGGGTAGATACCCATTTTGTTTCTGAAGTCCAAAGTCCCTTTAGGAAAGGATTAAGGAAACATATAATTATTGTAGTCCCTATAAAGGTCAAGTACTGTACCTTTGTTGTCTCCTTTACAAGTAGGATGAAGTCCTTAAGTATATACAGATGGGAGAGGAAAGACACTGAAGTCATTGAATTCTTTTCTTGCTTTAGTGGGCCTCATAATTAAAGGCAGATTCCTAGGCCCACTCCTGCAATTTCTGATTCTGGGAACCTAGGACAAGATTCAGGAATTCTCATTTTTTCCCAACCCTCCAGTTATGCTAATGCAGATTATCTGGGTCCAGACTTGAAATATTGCTTTAAGTTCTGGTAACTAACTCAGATATTTTCTGCCAAATTAGGCTCTGATGGCAGAGGACTAAACCCTAAAGGACTATGAGATGAAATACAGGCATGACTGTATGCATTCTTTGCTAAATGTAGCAACTCCAGAAGAGTGTTGGCCCTGGAATGGAGGGGGATACTAGGAGCCTAGAGACATGTTTTGTTCAATCCCTCTGCATACCTATCCCTTGTGCTTCGCCCTGCATTTGACCTTGTTCCTGGATGCTTCAGACAGTGTCCAACTACACTGTGGTGAGTGCAGAAATCATCTGTGATCAGGAAATCAGGGGAACTGGGATCATGTTCCTGTAATCAGATGCTAATAAAACATAAAACTATCTCACATCCTTTTCTGCCTGTGTAGCTTGAAGGAGTATTTAGCATTCTTGCCGCAAAGTCTCAATTCTTCGTCACTAAACAAGAATTCTAATAGCAAAGGGAAAAAAAGAAAAAGAAAAAAGACTTTTCAACAGGCTTCAGTCAAGCACAACCTATAATAACAAGAAGACCCAACCAAACAAGTCAAATTACAGACCGCACCACACTCATACAATAACCGATGGGCGCTCTTGCATGCTGCTTCGTCAGAAATTATCATAAACTCTGCAAGTCTCATCAGCCCACTTACCATTTGTGCCTGACTCATACACAAGCCCTTTTGGTAATGCTGTGTGAGCAAGTATGTCTTACAATCTCTTCTGTGAGCAGGAAGACGGCATTTTTTTTCTTGGCCTCCTGTTCTCAACATTCTGCAAGCTCATGCTGTCACAGAATGAAAGAAATTTGTTTGAGTGGCCATCTCTGAGTGTCGCCAGGGGAGGTCTTGTTGCTTGACTTGGTAGAAAAGGAAACATATCAGGATTTCTTAACTTCATTTTTGTTTCACTTTGAAGTGAACCAAGGCTTGGACCCCACCCCCACCTCCTCATTCTACACAGAAACTGCAGGGTCTGCTGTTTCTGGGACCTCTTAGGCCCCAGCTCATTCATAGAGATGTTGTTGAAGCCTTAAGCCATTGACAGGCTGCTACACAGAGGAAATTCTCTAAGATTCGATAATTAAAACCAATATACAGTTTGTCTATAAGAGACCTGGAATAGGTTACTGTGCATCTGTTCTCTTTCTCATTCCTCTAAACTCCATGATATTTCAGTTCTCTTCATTGGGCACTTTGTATTCACCATCTGAACTCATTTCTTATCTTTTGTTATCATTTCTTATGTTTTATTGTCATTGTTTACTCAACTATTGGCTTCTTGACTCAATATTTTGACTTACATAATTTTTTTGTAACCCAAACTCATTGTATTTGGTTTTAGATGAAAATCACTTGTATCAGGAAGCCAGAAATGCCTAGAAGAATCAAGTTAATGGGAGTTATATTTCAATTCAATTTATCAATTTTGGAGCAGCTGCCAGGGAATGTATTGTGGGGGACACGTGAGAAGTGTTTTAGGAAGATGGACTCAGTTTGGCTATATGGCATGTTGTTCATTTGTCAACTATTCTGTGAGTATGTGATGGACATTATGCTAAGTTCTGGTTATACCTTTATAAGTAAAAACATGATTTTTGCATTCAAATAACTTATAATTTAATGTGATATAATCCTCATCTTTATCCCCACAAATACTTCAGTAAAAATCTTCAGAATTCACTATTAACTAATGCTGCATGAAACAAAGTAGCTCTGGGCCTAACTTCAGGTTTTGTAATTTCAGGATTGCTCAAATATGGCAAGTCATATTGGGATTGTTTTAGAATTTCCTAGCACCAAGCACAGTGACTGTTACATATTATATGCTCAGTAAATAATTATTAAGACTAAGGGTATAGCTCAATGGTTAGAGTACTTGTTTAGCATGCATAAGGCTCTGGGTTTGATCCTCAGCACTGCAAAACTATTGAATGAATATACAATACATCAATCTGTACAAATAATGTTGTGAAGAATTGGCTGTTGTATCAGAAGACCTGAGTTCAAGAGACACCAGCACTTACTGGCTTGGTAATTAGCTCAACCACTCTGAATCTTAGGTCCCTCATCTATAAAATGGGAATAATATCACATGATCAATCCATCCAATTATTTCTAATTGAATAGTAGTAAACTAAAGTGCTAAAAATTTACTGGGCACTGTGTTAAGCACCCCTGACTCAGGCACTATTATCTGATACAGAAACTGACACTTAGGTAAAGAAACTTGTTCAAGGTCACAGGATTAGTAAATCAGGAAACCCAGATTTGATCCTAGGTAGCTTGACTGCAGAGATGGGAGCACTAACCCACTTCCTTATCTGCTGTCTGGTATTGTGATCAGGTGAGAATATGGATTCCAAAGCACTTTGTTTATTCTAGTACTTTATACTAATGTAATATGTTCATCTTCTAATTGTAAGGTAATTGTAAATTTTAAAAAATTGGTTTCTTACCTGGTTCAGTGGCACATATCTGTAATCCCAGCTACTTAAGAAGTTTAGGCAGGAAGATGACAAGATCAAGACCAACTACTGCAACCTGGAGGGAGGGTATCTCAAAATAAATAAATAAAAAGTGCTGGGGATATAGCTCAGTGGTAAATCACCCCTGGGTTCAGTTCTCAGCACTGAAAATAATTTAAAACAAACAAACAAAACACACAGAAAAACAAAGAGGGCTTTACCATTGAGCTACATTTCCAGTCATTTTTATTTTATATTTTAAAATAGACTCTAAGTTGGCCAGGCTGGCTTCCAACTTATGATCCTTCTAAGTTGCTAGAATTACAAGTGTGTGCTACTGCACCAAGCATGGTTTCTTGAATTAGTTCATGATGGGCTCACGAGGTTATTACATTTACTTACTTAAGAAAAGAAGGGTCCAAGAAGAAGAGTTAGTCCTTAGCACCCACAAGTCCTAGAAACAAGGCACTCATCACCTCTGGACCTACTTCATATTAATTTATTTATTATCATAGGTTACTCTGGTTTGAATTTGCCTCCCAAAAAGCTGTGTTGGAAGATTAATACTGGTACAACAGTGTTGGGAGGTAGGGCCTAATGGGAGGTATTTAGGTCCCAAGGGCTCCACCTTCACAAATAGATTCGTGCTGATTATAAAAAGGCCTGAGGCTATGGGTTTAATCTTTGTCTCTCTCCTTGCCTTCTCTAGCCCTTCCACTTTCCATCATCGGATGATGCAGCCAAAAGTTCCTCACCAGATGCCAGCACCTTTGTCTAGGACTCCCCAGTCTCAAAAACATGAGAAGTTAATTTCTATTGCTTAAAAAGTATTCAGTGTATGGTGTTTTGTTATCTCTTCACAAAATGTACTAAGACGCATCTCCTGCCAAAAGAATGGAAGCTCAAAGAGAATGGAAAATGATTCCCCCCTGAAAGCCACTGCTTGAGGTCACAAATATCCAGTCATCTGCTCCTAGAAAATAGATCCAATGCCACAATGAATAAGAAAGAGTTTGCTTAAGATTTGTGGGAAAGCAGGAAAGAAGTAAAATCACACAGCACTCAGGAACTTGAAAATATTTTGAAAGGATCTTCTTTTCTCCCAGAGTTCCTCTCCCCAACCAATTGCCTCTTTTGCACAGCTTAATAAATATCCCTTCTAAAAATCATTTCAGAACCTTGCTTTGCATTTGCCATCCAGTAACACAGCAGTTCTGTCCTTAGTTCAAATGTAATCATATGATCCCTTATGTGTATTTATTAGGGTTCTCAGTTTATCCTACCACCATTATTAATGGATTCTTGCATGTATTCCCAGAAAATTATCATGCCTATACAAAGAGATGTGTTCAGCACACACATAAAACACACATACGTATGTACACACACACACCCCTCCAGGACACACAGCAGCATGAAGTACTCTCCAGCCAGTCATAGTGGGTTATGATTTACAGAGGCCCACACTTTCCTAGTTGTCAAATATTTTGAATGTCATGGCCATGTATAGCCTCTTTGAAAACATAAGCAGCTGAAAGAATTAAAAATAAC